ACTTAAATAGCTTAAATCCAAATCCATTTATCCGACACACATTTTGGACAGTATTTATCGGGTCTGTAGTAAACTGGACCAGCATTTACGCCACTAATCAGGCTGGAGTTCAGAGATACCTGTCCCTACCTACCTTAAAAAAGGCTCAAATGTAAATTATATAATTTAGTTCTTAAATTATTATTTATATCATATTTCTTATTTTTAAGGACTTTATTAATTGTGCTGCCATTAAAAACAACAATTATATGCCTGACCTGTTTGGCCGGGCTAATAGTGTTTGCCAAATATAGTACATGTGATCCGATGTCAACCAAACGTATCGAGCGTTTCGATCAGTTGTTCCCCTTATATGTGATCCAATCGTTCAGTTTTATACCGGGATTTGTGGGGCTATTCATCGCAGGAATATTCAGTGGTTCACTCAGGTTTGTAATATAAAAACAACATTTATTGTCCAGTTACTAGACAATTACAAAATATAGTGATATAACTTATATTATATAAGTTTTAAAATTATTTTTGACCCAACTTTCAGTACAATCTCTTCGGGCGTCAACTCTCTGTCTGCGGTCACTCTCCAGGACTTTATTCGTCCGTTTCTGTCGTATAAGATGTCCGACTCTGCGGCCACTCTTACCGTCAAAGTTGTCGCCGTTTTCTATGGCTTACTGTCCATTGCTTTGGTATTATTGGCTCAACAGATGGGAAATATACTACAAGCGACTACAGCTTTGTTTGGACTCTTGGGGTCACCAGTGTTTGGATTATTTATTTTAGGGATGTTTGTGCCCACTGCCAACTCCAGGGGTGCCTTTTGGGGCACTTTAATAGGTATTGGGTGCTCACTATGGGTAGGTCTGGGGGCTATGATTTATAAGCCATACCTACCAAAAAAGCCCATTTCGGTGGAAAGTTGTATAGAATTATACGAGAATGTCACACATAATATCTATAATCAAACACTTTTTGGACAACCATCTCTACTGGATTTGAATAAAAAGTATGAATCTTTACATTTCATACTTATCTCATAAAAATACTGATTTAATTAAATTAATATTTCAGTTCAGAAATACCACTAATATATCAAATATCGTATGTATACTACGGAGTGATAGGATCTGTTACAACAGTATTGGCCGGTTATATCATATCACTAATTACAGGTAGTGTTGAAAATGTATTTTATTTAACACAATTCTAGTTAAAGTATCAATATTTATGAATACCTGTCCCACGGATAGGCCAGACATTGATCGCAGAGATGGACCCAACACTATACACGCCATTAGTTCGCAAACGTGTAGAAAGATTACAGAGACTTCATAACGAAAACTATTGTCAAAAGGTTTTCAAAAAGCTATATCAATTAATATCCGTACTATTAATTAACACAAAATTATATTTAATATTAAGGAGGAACAGGATTACCATAGAAATGGTGTTGAATCAGCACCGATAGGCACTATCGGACAACTGCCGCCCAAATCACATTCCGATTTAGTGCTCAATAATTTAAAACCTATTTCCAATAGTACTGATAATTATGATCATATAAATCATAATATAAACTGTCGATTAAATGATGCATTTGATGATACATCAGAATATACTACAAAATTATGAAACAAAAGGCTTACTTTATAATTGAGTTTATCCATGTTTATATAAAATTGAATTATTTCTAAACTGTCTGAATATATTACATAATTAATGTTTGTATTTTTATTAATATTTTATATTTTGTAAAACATTTGTAATCTGATTTAACGGTTTTATTGATATTAAGTACACCATTGATATTAATTAATTAAAATAATAATTAAATAGTGTAATTATTGTTGATTTCATGTTCATTACTCCAATAAAACATATGTTCATTAGTGACCTTTAAATAAATCTATGAATTTTTAAATTAAAAAATATTTTAAATAATTTTTAATTGCAAACCTTTAGCTCAATGATCGGAATCAGGTAATATACAAATTGATTATTACAAAAAATTATTCTAGAAATTAAATTATTAACAAAATAGAAATATAAACAAATATAATTTATTATTATATTAATATTGATTATACACTTTAGTTTGGCAAATAGTGTGCTTGTTGGAAACCTATGCTGTGGTAATATTATTGCATTATTACTTGGTATTTGTGTTTATTATTTGACACGTTTTTACACCACATTGAATAACTACCCGCCCGGTCCACTACCGCTCCCAATAATTGGAAATATTTTGAGTATATTTTAAAATAATTTCCTAAAATATATTGTAACGAATAGTTTCTTAAATAGTTTTCCGAAATTACAAACAACACCTGAGCCTCGAAGCGGTCAAATTGCATAAAACCTATGGCCCAGTAATTACTATATGGTTAGGACCATGGCCAATTGTGTTCATTTGCGACGCTAATATAGCTACGCAAGCGTTTATCAAGTGGCAGATATCCGGGCGACCTGTTACAGCATTAGGTTATTATTGGTTTTATTATTATTAGGTTCTAGGTTATTATAGAAAATTATTTTAAAAAATAACTTTAAAAGTACACTTAGAAGTCAATATAAGATATTATATTTACAACATACAGCCAGAATATGTTTGTGGGAAGCGTAGTCAATAATAACACAATTTTATTATTACTGTACTTGGTATTACTTTTATCATTTCAAATGAATTCACATTTTAATAATATTATATAAAAGCAATAAATCTACAATACCAAATTCAAATAATATTTATAAAACCTATTGTATTTAATGCTGTATTTAAATTGTTACAACTACAAACACAACAAATTATATTGATTTTCGGTCACAAATTTAATGATTTGAGGCAACTATTCATGACTATTTAAAATACTAATCACATAATTTAGTGTATTAAATATAATTAACAATAGTACAGTATACAAAATTTAATATTTATAATTTGTGTAAAAGAGTTATAAAAATTTCATAGAAACATGAATTTTCATATGACTGTAGTCTATGTAATGTGGACTCAAATTCTGTATCATTTAGCAGAATATTCTTATCGATAGACCACTTGTGGTGTTTAGTCAACACTTGCCGACACTCCACACGTTTAGTCCAATTTGTGTTAACCATAGACTCCAATAGTTTTTGCAATTTTATTATCGGTTTGTTTAACGCTTTATTCATAAGTTTTTGTGGTCTGTATTTAAATGTAATATAAATGTTATAAAACTATTTAAAACAAACACATAAAATATAACTCACTTTGGTGAATTTGTCTGGGCTAAATCAATAGAAAATAACTCTGCTCCGATAACTGCCAAGCTATAAATATCACACTGGTAGTCGTATATTAGACCCTTGTATACTTCCGGTGCAATATATCTGAGTTCCCCGACATCTAACTGTCCACACAGTATGCGTTTGTCGTGAACTGTAACCAAACCGAAGTCACATAACTTAACAAATTTACCGTTCCTTACATTCCTTGCGATCAATATGTTGTCGGGTTTGAGGTTCCGGTGAACGACCTGTGGATTCAATTCATGCAAGTATTGAATACTTTCTAAGATTTGTCGCAATATTTCACACGAAATGAAATACTCGTAAGTATTGAGCGGTTCATCCAATTGGCGGTAAAATACTTGTGGTTTTAGTCGCAAAATGTTTGTCAGACTGTCTGAACACAACTCTAGTTGAATGTAAATAACATCCCTTTCCTGCCATATATCGTAATACTCGGCCACGTATTCTGACCGCACTTTTAGTAGGCTTTCCACTTCTTTTACTACTAGCTCTTTGTCATCTAATTTGTTGAGAAATTAATTTCAAAAGTTTTAAAAGTTTAGTAATTAGTATATTTTATGAATACCTTTAAGTTCAACACATTTAACGGCATATCTCTGGTCATTAAACCTGTATTTACATTTAAATACACGTCCATAACCTCCTGATCCTATGAGCGACAGTTCCCTGAATGTGCTTTTATAGTAGTTTTCAGACTTAATAATCGGTTTATTTTCAATAGTATTATAACTGATTTCGCATTCATTTGCGTAGAAATCACTGAAATTAGTGTATTTTGTTTCAATCATTGAATTATTATTGAAAATAATGAATATTTTCTCATTTCTCAAAACAGGTATGAAATCAAACTCATTATACGAAGCAATTTGAGATAACTGTCTAAATGACTCACCAAGCTGAATTTGCTTAGGGATATTTTCTATGAACTTTTTATTATCTTGGTAATAGTTGCCACAAAAATATATATAACCTGAGCTTGATAGAAAATATGTCATATTCTGTGAGCACACAATCGATTGAATATTATTTATCCGATGAATGAGTTTAGGTCTATATTGTATGGTAGAGGTCATCATATGACCAAGGTGATAGTTTTCATTGGAGCCCCAGCTTAATATACTACCATCCATGGTGATGGCAAATGAACAGTTAGCATGACAATAAATATATTTAATCAAATGTCCCCCGGTGAATTTTAGTTGTATGGGTAGTATTGTGTTGTCGTCCCCCTTATCGCCACATCCTATCTGTCCCTCAAAATTACTGCCCCAACCGTACACCTGGCCATCAAAGGACAGGGCCAACGAATGCTCATAACCGCAACTGACCTGGTTACATTAAACATAAATATTAAAATAAATATACTAATGACATTAATATTAATATAAAATACTTATTATATTTTATTATGGTTTGTAACATTACAGTGTAAAATAGTATAAAAAGAATTAATAATGCTAAAATAAATAAACTAACCTGGATTATATTTTTATCGTCGAAGTATTCGATTAAATCAACTAGTTGAAAAAATCCCCTTGGTTCCCTAGCCAATTGACACAACATATTACAGCCCCAGCTATATATTTGGTTTGACTTATTAATAGCCAACACAAAGTTTTTGCCGCTTATAAACTGTTGGATATGTTGTTGACAGAGAGCCGGGATCATTTGTGGCGTATAAACCGGGTTATTATTGCCCAGACTTAGGCAACCCTCGGTGTTATCGCCCAAACCGTATACTAAGTCATCATTTGTAACGAATAACACGTTTTTTCCGTTACTATGTTTGCCGTAAACATAGAAAATGTACAATAATTTTATAGATTTTATTGTCGTATCACTAATTTGGTCACAAATACGAAATTTTTTCAATACTGAAGACATTTTTATGAATTAAAAAGAAAATACAAATTTGTTTTAATTTTTGTGTTTAAACAATGGCTTCAAAAGATAGGCGTTGTTGTAGTAATGATAAGATTGTGAAAGGTAATGATGACATGGCAACAAGTGATAAATAATGAATCAATATGCTTAATTGATGTAAATTATATTAAATATTGCTAATACTACTAAATAATTTATAATATAAAAATTTGTACATTGTATTTATTATAAGTTATGTTGTAAAAAGTATATTTAATAATAAAACAACGGAATAATCAATAAAAAATTATGAATTAAAAAAATCAACAGATGTTATAAATACTGTATATCATTAATATTAAAATATTTGAGTAATCATTAAATTAAGTAACAATTATTAATTAATATTATTTATAAAATAATTATTTTTGAATAAATACTTTGATAATCTATGTGAATTGTAATGATAAAACTTTATTGTTTTAATCATATATTAATAATATACTAAAAATTAAAAATATGTTATTTAAGGTCTATATTATAGATATTATGTTTTCATAATTTCTAGAATAATGACTATTAAGTGTTGATTAAGCATTTGAATAACAATTCCTTGGCGTCAATAAATAAAGGATATGAACTGGGATTAGTAAAATGAAAATGATAATTTTTCACTTGTTTATCAAATTTACAGTCAAATATATCAAAAACTAATATAATCTACTATTAGAACAATTCAATTTTAATCTGTTTGCCCAGGATAGTTAGATTCACATTATAAAGAGCTCATTTTTAATAAGTTAATGCTACTTATTTGTTGTTTTTATCAGAGTCAAATTATTACCTGGAACTTGTGTAAAATCTACCTGTGTGTCACAAACTGTTTAACCAGTAAACAACTTAATAAATACCAAATGGCATACGTGATGACCTGTGACATTTAGTATTTTTATAAATGATTTATATAATATTTATTATGATTAACAATAACGGATAAGAGAAGTATAAAATAATATTTGAAGCACTTCCGTTAACATTTCACTTATTTATAAATCATGTGAGTGTTTTTATATTAATTTAAACAATTTTATCTATAGAAATGTATTTATCAAACAGGAATAATGATTATAATAAAATTTATTATTTATAAACAAACGTTAATTTTATTTAATAACCATATAAGCGAACAAATGTAATGAGTTAACATAATAAATACTATATTTTAAAATATGTAATAGTTTTAATTTGTGAGGTAACATGTCGGTCTAATACAGATAAATATTTCTAAATGAACGTTAATATGACCGAGAATTATGAACATAACAGAACACGACAATAACTCATCAATTATAAATGTCTATTCAAAAAGTGACAAGCTAGATGTATTAGGGGTTTTCATAATATCTGTCAGGTAGATTTTATTCAGCAACCAATAATGATATCAAAAAGTTTTTTAAACCTCAACTATGGATTTTTCTTATATGTATTCCCCAGAAGACACAACTAATATGTAGTTATTGCTGTACAGAAAACCTACCTGTGCCGGCCTACCGGTGCTCGAATTTAGTTGTGTCTTCTGGGGAATACATATAAGAAAAATCCATAGTTGAGGTTTAAAAATCTTTTCGATATCTTTATTGGTTTCCGAGTTAAATGTATTTTAGATATTAATTTTACCTGACAGATATTATGAAAACCCCTAATATTAATCCACGATCATGAACTCACTACACCAGAGATTAAGCAACATATACGATGGCTATGCAATAAACAGCTATTACAAGACCACAAACAAGTTTCATTCAAAGGTGTTGAAAAAGTTTGGCGAGATGTATCACCAAGTTACTTAATTGTGCTTGCTATTGATGCTAAGGGAACTAGTACTGTTGTTTGCGAAAATTATCAAATGAAACCAGATTGCTCATTAATAATTACTGATAATGCTTTAATTGAGATGAATCCATTTGGTGAGCGTCATAACGTGGACAGTAATTCTGGTGATCAAGATCAAAATAATACGAATTTCCAAAAATCGTTTGTCATCAGAGAAGCAATTAAAGAAAAAATGTCAGACTTTAATAATACCAGAACCACCAAAAATGTAAGATTTTCAATGTTTAACTCGTTGTAATGTATATTTTATAATTAAAACACTAAATAATTAGGTACCGGGAAATTATTTTTATAAAAATTTGAAAATATATTTTGACACATAATTGATTGCCAGTAAACAAATTACAAATTAAATAAAAATAAGTTTGTTTTGTTCAATGTTTCAAAATATAATTTTAAAATCCGAATATAAATATTTTTCCAATAATTATAAT